TGTCTCACCTGTGTATCACCTGTGTCTCACCTGTGTCTCACCTGTGTCTCACCTGTGTATCACTTGTGTATCACCTGTGTCTCACCTGTGTATCACCTGTGTATCACCTGTGTCTCACCTGTGTCTCACCTGTGTCTCACCTGTGTCTCACCTGTGTCTCACCTGTGTATCACCTGTGTCTCACCTGTGTATCACCTGTGTATCACCTGTGTATCACCTGTTATATAAATGATTATGGATATAGGTTCAGCATCAGCGCCGATGATTGACAGCCCTTGCCATGACTCGATTGGTTAACCTCGACGGCATCGTGGATTCTGAGCTATAGCTAAGAGAAGGGAAGGCGGGACTTACCTGTAATATTAGAATTAATAAAATGATTATTTTATATCAACATTTAAGGCCAGGAGGTCAATTTAACACATTTCCTAAAATTTGTAATTCATTTACATTTTATTGTTCTACTTTCTATTGTATTATTGTATTGTTTTAGTGTCCCCAATGTTTCCTCTGGAGGAGCCCTCTGCACTGAGAGCTGGGGTCTGCTGTGGCTTCGGGGGTCTGGCTCTTGGATCCGGTGGGGGTCTGGGGCCTCCTCTCTCCTCTGGGTCCTATGGGGTCTGAGTCCTGGGCCTGGTGGGGCCTGGGGCCCCTCTCTCCTCTGGGTCCTATGGGGTCTGAGTCCTGGGCCTGGTGGGGTCTGGGGCCTCCTCTCTCCTCTGGGTCCTATGGGGTCTGAGTCCTGGGCCTGGTGGGGTCTGGGGCCCCTCTCTCCTCTGGGTCCTATGGGGTCTGAGTCCTGGGCCTGGTGGGGTCTGGGGCCTCCTCTCTCCTCTGGGTCCTATGGGGTCTGAGTCCTGGGCCTGGTGGGGTCTGGGGCCCCTCTCTCCTCTGGGTCCTATGGGGTCTGAGTCCTGGGCCTGGTGGGGTCTGGGGCCTCCTCTCTCCTCTGGGTCCTATGGGGTCTGAGTCCTGGGCCTGGTGGGGTCTGGGGCCCCTCTCTCCTCTGGGTCCTATGGGGTCTGAGTCCTGGGCCTGGTGGGGTCTGGGGCCCCTCTCTCCTCTGGGTCCTATGGGGTCTGAGTCCTGGGCCTGGTGGGGTCTGGGGCCTCCTCTCTCCTCTGGGTCCTATGGGGTCTGAGTCCTGGGCCTGGTGGGGTCTGGGGCCCCTCTCTCCTCTGGGTCCTATGGGGTCTGAGTCCTGGGCCTGGTGGGGTCTGGGGCCTCCTCTCTCCTCTGGGTCCTATGGGGTCTGAGTCCTGGGCCTGGTGGGGTCTAGGGCCCCTCTCTCCTCTGGGTCCTATGGGGTCTGAGTCCTGGGCCTGGTGGGGTCTGGGGCCTCCTCTCTCCTCTGGGTCCTATGGGGTCTGAGTCCTGGGCCTGGTGGGGTCTGGGGCCTCCTCTCTCCTCTGGGTCCTATGGGGTCTGAGTCCTGGGCCTGGTGGGGTCTGGGGCCCCTCTCTCCTCTGAGTCCTATGGGGTCTGAGTCCTGGGCCTGGTGGGGTCTGGGGCCCCTCTCTCCTCTGGGTCCTATGGGGTCTGAGTCCTGGGCCTGGTGGGGTCTGGGGCCCCTCTCTCCTCTGGGTCCTATGGGGTCTGAGTCCTGGACCTGGTGGGGTCTAGGGCCCCTCTCTCCTCTGGGTCCTATGGGGTCTGAGTCCTGGGCCTGGTGGGGTCTGGGGCCCCTCTCTCCTCTGGGTCCTATGGGGTCTGAGTCCTGGGCCTGGTGGGGTCTGGGGCCCCTCTCTCCTCTGGGTCCTATGGGGTCTGAGTCCTGGGCCTGGTGGGGTCTGGGGCCTCCTCTCTCCTCTGGGTCCTATGGGGTCTGAGTCCTGGGCCTGGTGGGGTCTAGGGCCCCTCTCTCCTCTGGGTCCTATGGGGTCTGAGTCCTGGGCCTGGTGGGGTCTAGGGCCCCTCTCTCCTCTGGGTCCTATGGGGTCTGAGTCCTGGGCCTGGTGGGGTCTGGGGCCTCCTCTCTCCTCTGGGTCCTATGGGGTCTGAGTCCTGGGCCTGGTGGGGTCTGGGGCCCCTCTCTCCTCTGGGTCCTATGGGGTCTGAGTCCTGGGCCTGGTGGGGTCTGGGGCCCCTCTCTCCTCTGGGTCCTATGGGGTCTGAGTCCTGGGCCTGGTGGGGTCTGGAGCCCCTCTCTCCTCTGGGTCCTATGGGGTCTGAGTCCTGGGCCTGGTGGGGTCTGGGGCCCCTCTCTCCTCTGGGTCCTATGGGGTCTGAGTCCTGGGCCTGGTGGGGTCTGGGGCCCCTCTCTCCTCTGGGTCCTATGGGGTCTGAGCCCTGGGCCTGGTGGGGTCTGGGGCCCCTCTCTCCTCTGGGTCCTATGGGGTCTGAGTCCTGGGCCTGGTGGGGTCTGGGGCCCCTCTCTCCTCTGGGTCCTATGGGGTCTGAGTCCTGGGCCTGGTGGGGTCTGGGGCCCCTCTTCCTCTGGGTCCTATGGGGTCTGAGCCCTGGGCCTGGTGGGGTCTGGGGCCCCTCTCTCCTCTGGGTCCTGTGGGGTCTGAGTCCTGGGCCTGGTGGGGTCTGGGGCCTCCTCTCTCCTCTGGGTCCTATGGGGTCTGAGTCCTGGGCCTGGTGGGGTCTGGGGCCCCTCTCTCCTCTGGGTCCTATGGGGTCTGAGCCCTGGGCCTGGTGGGGTCTGGGGCCCCTCTCTCCTCTGGGTCCTATGGGGTCTGAGTCCTGGGCCTGGTGGGGCCTGGGGCCCCTCTCTCCTCTGGGTCCTATGGGGTCTGAGTCCTGGGCCTGGTGGGGCCTGGGGCACCTCTCTCCTCTGGGTCCTATGGGGTCTGAGTCCTGGGCCTGGTGGGGCCTGGGGCCCCTCTCTCCTCTGGGTCCTATGGGGGTCTGAGTCCTGGGCCTGGTGGGGCCTGGGGCCCCTCTCTCCTCTGGGTCCTATGGGGTCTGAGTCCTGGGCCTGGTGGGGCCTGGGGCCCCTCTCTCCTCTGGGTCCTATGGGGTCTGAGTCCTGGGCCTGGTGGGGCCTGGGGCCCCTCTCTCCTCTGGGTCCTATGGGGGTCTGAGTCCTGGGCCTGGTGGGGCCTGGGGCCCCTCTCTCCTCTGGGTCCTATGGGGTCTGAGTCCTGGGCCTGGTGGGGTCTGGGGCCTCCTCTCTCCTCTGGGTCCTATGGGGGTCTGAGTCCTGGGCCTGGTGGGGTCTGGGGCCCCTCTCTCCTCTGGGTCCTATGGGGTCTGAGTTCTGGGCCTGGTGGGGTCTGGGGCCCCTCTCTCCTCTGGGTCCTATGGGGTCTGAGTCCTGGGCCTGGTGGGGCCTGGGGCCCCTCTCTCCTCTGGGTCCTATGGGGGTCTGAGTCCTGGGCCTGGTGGGGCCTGGGGCCCCTCTCTCCTCTGGGTCCTATGGGGTCTGAGTCCTGGGCCTGGTGGGGCCTGGGGCCCCTCTCTCCTCTGGGTCCTATGGGTCTGAGTCCTGGGCCTGGTGGGGCCTGGGGCCCCTCTCTCCTCTGGGTCCTATGGGGTCTGAGTCCTGGGCCTGGTGGGGCCTGGGGCCCCTCTCTCCTCTGGGTCCTATGGGGTCTGAGTCCTGGGCCTGGTGGGGCCTGGGGCCCCTCTCTCCTCTGGGTCCTGTGTCGTTGCCTGTGGCTGCAGCCGGCTCTCTGCTCCTGGTGCAGATGGCTCCTTGGATGACGCTTCTTCAGACGGTTACATCTGCTCCCAGCCCCATTTCTTTTTATTGTTTTACCTGATATGACTTTATACTTGTGTGTGTGTGTGTGTGTGTGTGTGTGTGTGTGTGTCTGTGTGTGTGTGTATGTGTGTGTGTGTGTATACGCATGTGGTTGTATATATAATTATAAATGTGGTTTTGGGGGGTCTGTGGGGAGGAGGGTTTAGGGCTGGGCATGTTGGATTGTTTTTAACTAAACTGTAAAGCACTTTGTGTTACATTTTTTGTATGAAAAGCGCTTTATAAATAAAATTTGATTGATTGATTGATTTAGATTTACAGACTATCACTTTACTTTTGGGTTTCATTTACTTTTACACTCGTACTATTGGTACTATTGTCCACATGGTACTATAGTCCACATGGTACTATTGTCCACATGGTACTATTGTCCACATGGTACTATTGTCCACATGGTACTATTGTCCACATGGTACTATTGTCCACATGGTACTATAGTCCACATGGTACTATTGTCCACATGGTACTATTATAGAATCAGAATCAGAATCATTTTTATTGCATGTGCAGGTGAGAGGGGAGTGGTTGGAATAGTCCATGTGCAGGTGAGAGGGGAGTGGTTGGAATAGTCCATGTGCAGGTGAGAGGGGAGTGGTTGGAATAGTCCATGTGCAGGTGAGAGGGGAGTGGTTGGAATAGTCCATGTGCAGGGTGAGAGGGGAGTGGTTGGAATAGTCCATGTGCAGGTGAGAGGGGAGTGGTTGGAATAGTCCATGTGCAGGTGAGAGGGGAGTGGTTGGAATAGTCCATGTGCAGGTGAGAGGGGAGTGGTTGGAATAGTCCATGTGAAGGGTGAGAGGGGAGTGGTTGGAATAGTCCATGTGCAGGGTGAGAGGGGAGTGGTTGGAATAGTCCATGTGCAGGTGAGAGGGGAGTGGTTGGAATAGTCCATGTGCAGGTGAGAGGGGAGTGGTTGGAATAGTCCATGTGCAGGTGAGAGGGGAGTGGTTGGAATAGTCCATGTGCAGGTGAGAGGGGAGTGGTTGGAATAGTCCATGTGCAGGTGAGAGGGGAGTGGTTGGAATAGTCCATGTGCAGGTGAGAGGGGAGTGGTTGGAATAGTCCATGTGCAGGGTGAGAGGGGAGTGGTTGGAATAGTCCATGTGCAGGTGAGAGGGGAGTGGTTGGAATAGTCCATGTGCAGGTGAGAGGGGAGTGGTTGGAATAGTCCATGTGCAGGTGAGAGGGGTCGGCTGTGATACGACCAGCCCGGCCTCGAGCTCGGGCGACGTACAGGTCCTGCAGCGATGGAAGGCTGCGGCCGATCACTTCCTCTGCAGAGCGCACAATGCACTGTAGTCTCTGTTTGTCCCTGACTGTGGCTCCAGCGAACCACACGGTGATGGAGGAGGTGATGGAGGAGGTGATGGAGGAGGTGATGGAGGAGGTGATGGAGGTGGTGATGGAGGAGGTGACGGAGGAGGTGATGGAGGAGGTGATGGAGGAGGTGATGGAGGAGGTGATGGAGGAGGTGATGGAGGAGGTGATGGAGGAGGTGACGGAGGAGGTGATGGAGGAGGTGATGGAGGAGGTGCTGGAGGAGGTGATGGAGGAGGTGATGGAGGAGGTGATGGAGGAGGTGATGGAGGAGGTGATGAGGAGGTGATGGAGGAGGTGATGGAGGAGGTGACGGAGGAGGTGATGAGGAGGTGATGGAGGAGGTGATGGAGGAGGTGATGGAGGAGGTGAGGATGGACTCGATGATGGCCGTGTAGAACTGCAGCTTGGCTTTCCTGAGCTGCCGCAGGAAGTACATCCTCTGCTGGGCCTTCTTGATGAGGAGCTGATGGTCGGCTCCCACTTGAGGTCCTGGGTGATGGTGGTGCCCAGGAAACGGAAGGACTCCACAGAGGTGATGGGGGAGTCCATCACGGAGGGTGGGGGCGGGGGGACAGTGCTCTTCCTGAAGTCCACAATCATCTCCACTGTCTTCTGGGCGTTCAGCTCCAGGTTGTTACCACTGCACCAGGACACCAGCCGGTCCACCTCCCTCCTGTAGGAGACACCAGGACACCAGCCGGTCCACCTCCTCCTGTAGGAGACACCAGGACACCAGCCGGTTCACCTCCCTCCTGTAGGAGACACCAGGACACCAGCCGGTCCACCTCCCTCCTGTAGGAGACACCAGGACACCAGCCGGTCCACCTCCCTCCTGTAGGAGACACCAGGACACCAGCCGGTCCACCTCCCTCCTGTAGGAGACACCAGGACACCAGCCGGTCCACCTCCCTCCTGTAGGAGACACCAGGACACCAGCCGGTCCACCTCCCTCCTGTAGGAGACACCAGGACACCAGCCGGTCCACCTCCCTCCTGTAGGAGACACCAGGACACCAGCCGGTCCACCTCCCTCCTGTAGGAGACACCAGGACACCAGCCGGTCCACCTCCCTCCTGTAGGAGACACCAGGACACCAGCCGGTCCACCTCCCTCCTGTAGGAGACACCAGGACACCAGCCGGTCCACCTCCCTCCTGTAGGAGACACCAGGACACCAGGACACCAGCCGGTCCACCTCCTCCTGTAGGAGACACCAGGACACCAGCCGGTCAACCTCCCTCCTGTAGGAGACACCAGGACACCAGCCGGTCCACCTCCCTCCTGTAGGAGACACCAGGACACCAGCCGGTCCACCTCCCTCCTGTAGGAGACACCAGGACACCAGCCGGTCCACCTCCCTCCTGTAGGAGACACCAGGACACCAGCCGGTCCACCTCCCTCCTGTAGGAGACACCAGGACACCAGCCGGTCCACTTCCCTCCTGTAGGAGACACCAGGACACCAGCCGGTCCACCTCCCTCCTGTAGGAGACACCAGGACACCAGCCGGTCCACCTCCCTCCTGTAGGAGACACCAGGACACCAGCCGGTCCACCTCCCTCCTGTAGGAGACACCAGGACACCAGCCGGTCCACCTCCCTCCTGTAGGAGACACCAGGACACCAGGACACCAGCCGGTCCACCTCCTCCTGTAGGAGACACCAGGACACCAGCCGGTCCACCTCCCTCCTGTAGGAGACACCAGGAGACCAGCCGGTCCACCTCCCTCCTGTAGGAGACACCAGGACACCAGCCGGTCCACCTCCCTCCTGTAGGAGACACCAGGACACCAGCCGGTCCACCTCCCTCCTGTAGGAGACACCAGGACACCAGCCGGTCCACCTCCCTCCTGTAGGAGACACCAGGAGACCAGCCGGTCCACCTCCCTCCTGTAGGAGACACCAGGACACCAGCCGGTCCACCTCCCTCCTGTAGGAGACACCAGGACACCAGCCGGTCCACCTCCCTCCTGTAGGAGACACCAGGACACCAGCCGGTCCACCTCCCTCCTGTAGGAGACACCAGGACACCAGCCGGTCCACCTCCCTCCTGTAGGAGACACCAGGACACCAGCCGGTCCACCTCCCTCCTGTAGGAGACACCAGGAGACCAGCCGGTCCACCTCCCTCCTGTAGGAGACACCAGGACACCAGCCGGTCCACCTCCTCCTGTAGGAGACACCAGGACACCAGCCGGTCCACCTCCTCCTGTAGGAGACACCAGGACACCAGCCGGTCCACCTCCCTCCTGTAGGAGACACCAGGACACCAGCCGGTCCACCTACTCCTGTAGGAGACACCAGGACACCAGCCGGTCCACCTCCTCCTGTAGGAGACACCAGGACACCAGCCGGTCCACCTCCTCCTGTAGGAGACACCAGCTGGTCCACCTCCTCCTGTAGGAGACACCAGGACACCAGCCGGTCCACCTCCCTCCTGTAGGAGACACCAGGACACCAGCCGGTCCACCTCCCTCCTGTAGGAGACACCAGGACACCAGCCGGTCCACCTCCCTCCTGTAGGAGACACCAGGACACCAGCCGGTCCACCTCCCTCCTGTAGGAGACACCAGGACACCAGCCGGTCCACCTCCCTCCTGTAGGAGACACCAGGACACCAGCCGGTCCACCTCCCTCCTGTAGGAGACACCAGGACACCAGCCGGTCCACCTCCCTCCTGTAGGAGACACCAGGACACCAGCCGGCCCACCTCCCTCCTGTAGGAGACACCAGGACACCAGCCGGTCCACCTCCCTCCTGTAGGAGACACCAGGACACCAGCCGGTCCACCTCCCTCCTGTAGGAGACACCAGGACACCAGCCGGTCCACCTCCCTCCTGTAGGAGACACCAGGACACCAGCCGGTCCACCTCCCTCCCACTAAACATCCGACGTCCACTCAACCTCCAGATCACGTCAATATCGCGTCGGTCGGTCGTGACCTTTTATTTACGTCCAAACGACGTCTGTGCAAGGTGCGCATCTGGACGTAAAACAATGACCTCCCATAGACGTGGATATGACGTTCAATCCCGACCTCCCTTAGACGTCGAAAACAGGTCATCGGCCGACCGACGCAGTACGTCTTGATCTAGCAATAGAATATATAGGCTGTGAAGCTAAGTGTACCTGAGGGTAGTGCAGTGGTTAAGCAAATGTGTGCAGCCTTGGTTACGTGAGTTCGAGCCCACGTGTGTGTATTATTATCTTTACATATTTGTTTTGATTTTTAACGAACAATTTTTTTCTGTTTGGTTAAAGACTGATAAACACTCAACATAGGATTACGTAGTGGCTAATAATAAAACTTGTGAATGTATGCATTTGTTGTGCTAACAATCTCAAGTTTGCAAATAAGGGGTGAGCACTTGAGATTTTATGCAAATGCATGGGTTCACAAGTTTTATTATTAGCCACTACATAATCTTATGTTGAGTGTTTATTCGTTTTTAACCAAACAGAAAAATTGTTTGCTAAAAAGTGAAAAGTCAAAAAATGTCCGATGGAGATTTTGTGACTGAAGTCTCATTACGCAAACGCTACACCACCGCCAGGCATTTTTCTGACTACTGGGAAAAAATAATAGATAACACCCTAAACAACCGACGCACACTTATGCGCCGTGCGAGTATAACTTATAACTTTACAGCCTGACACGTGAGTCGGTCGAGGACCTGTTTTCCACGTCTAAACGACGTAAGGTGTGCATCTGGACGTAAAGCAATGTCTTCCCAGACGTTGATATGACGTTGATATGACGTTGATATGACGTTGATATGACGTTGAATCTGTCGCTGCCCTGCTTTATTTACTTGGAATCACCCTCTCTTGTAAGTACACAGTCTGCACAGTTTTTAGATATAGATGTATCATTTCCACATTGAAAAGAGTTGGAGACAGAAAGTAAGTTGTTTTCTCACGTATACGTGGATTTTGTTAAGTATATTTTGTATATTATCTGTATTTTGAATTGCCAGTGCATGAATCTATAATAATAACGGCTGGCACTGCTCAGCTGAAAGGGAGACACCTTGTTTTAGTTTTTAAGTTAAAGTTTAAAATATGATATTGTTTTTCATATTTCAAACTATTTTTAACACATTAGAATTCTTAGGTTAGACTGTCCAACAAACTATGTGTTAAAAAAGGTTAAGATTCTTGAGTTTTAAAATAATAATTCAATTCTAAATTGTAAAGTTACTGTATATTTCACAATGGTTTATAAACTGCAAAAAGACAACAGTACTTAGTATACTAAGTTTAAAAACAGGGAGATCAGCTTTAATATTTGGGACACTCCCATCATTTAGACACCTGTGATGTCATCAGTTGGAGTTGAGTTCAGGTGTGGGACCATGTGGGACCATGTGGGACCATAGGAGCACACAGATGTTACCTGCTGTAGAAAGAGAGTTTAATGTTCATGTATTGCTTTATTTAATAAATGGATTTAATGTCTTCCCAGGTCTTCAATGTCAGAGACTTTCACTTCTTCTCACTGTGGCTGTTTAAATGAGCCACTACAGTTGTTATTTTTGTTATTGTTAGCTGCAAATATTAAATATCCAATCATCTGCTGGTAGCAAGCTAACTAGCGCTTGCAACTCTATTCAATTTCTTACTTTTTCTTATAAACTTTAAAACCAGCCATATGTTAATTAAAATACATTTACCTTTGCTAATGCAGTCAATTATTGTGAAATCCATAAAGTATAATTTCATGATTGTTGCAATAACTAATGTTCTGTGTGTATTCCTAATGTGTCATGTGTGTTTGAGTCTTACAGGTGTCAGACTGTGTTGAAGGTGTCAGACTGTGTTGAAGGTGTCAGACTGTGTTGAAGGTGTCAGACTGTGTTGAAGGTGTCAGACTGTGTTGAAGGTGTCAGACTGTGTTGAAGGTGTCAGACTGTGTTGAAGGTGTCAGACTGTGTTGAAGGTGTCAGACTGTGCTGAAGGTGTCAGACTGTGCTGAAGGTGTCAGACTGTGTTGAAGGTGTCAGACTGTGTTGAAGGTGTCAGACTGTGTTGAAGGTGTCAGACTGTGTTGAAGGTGTCAGACTGTGCTGAAGGTGTCAGACTGTGTTGAAGGTGTCAGACTGTGTTGAAGGTGTCAGACTGTGCTGAAGGTGTCAGACTGTGCTGAAGGTGTCAGACTGTGTTGAAGGTGTCAGACTGTGTTGAAGGTGTCAGACTGTGTTGAAGGAGTCAGACTGTGTTGAAGGTGTCAGACTGTGTTGAAGGAGTCAGACTGTGTTGAAGGTGTCAGACTGTGCTGAAGGTGTCAGACTGTGTTGAAGGTGTCAGACTGTGTTGAAGGTGTCAGACTGTTGAAGGTGTCAGACTGTGTTGAAGGTGTCAGACTGTGTTGAAGGTGTCAGACTGTGTTGAAGGTGTCAGACTGTGTTGAAGGTGTCAGACTGTGTTGAAGGTGTCAGACTGTGTTGAAGGTGTTCAAAGGTAAGACTCTCACACATTGATTGTTCTTCTGTATTATTATGTTGTTTTTAGAATAAACCATTATTTGGTGTATTCTCTTTGAAAACATCTATCTTTTTCTCAGATTGTTCAGCAACTCACTCAAGATGAGGGAAAAGAGCAACAAGGGGAAAATGCCCCCTCGGAAATGCAACATGTGTAGAGTAATACAGGGTAAGTAGCTTTCAGGGTCATTTGTCCAAGTGCAAAACAAATGCACATTTGCAATTGTTTTTTACATGGAATTACTCCAATAACCAAAGCCTTATCCCAAGTTTCTCAGACGGAGTGTCTTCCAGTGTCTCGAGCTAGTGCAGTGCCAAGGTTTGTATCACATGGTGATGGATCGAGTGGTTTGAGGCATTAATAGAAAGTTATGTGTTGTTATATCACTTTGCCACATTATGTTGAAACTAAACATGTTCCACATTTTCAGGTGCTGTGCTTGGACCTTGTGATGAGAGACTGAAGACCAAGAGAGGACACATGTTGGAACATCAACATTCAATAAATGCATTCTTCTGCCTTTCAGATTGTGTTTTTACATCTGGGGAACCTAGAGTGTAGCTTGTGCCTGTTTTAATACTGATCCAAACATAGGCGCTACAATCATGTTTTTTTACTTTGGCATGAACTGTTCAGTACAGTAGTGTTCAGTACAGTAGTGTTCAGTACAGTAGTGTTCAGTACAGTACAGTGTTTCAGTACAGTAGTGTTCAGTACAGTAGTGTTCAGTACAGTAGTGTTCAGTACAGTAGTGTTCAGTACAGTAGTGTTCAGGACAGTAGTGTTCAGTACAGTAGTGTTCAGTACAGTAGTGTTCAGTACAGTAGTGTTCAGTACAGTAGTGTTCAGGACAGTAGTGTTCAGTACAGTAGTGTTCAGTACAGTAGTGTTCAGTACAGTAGTGTTCAGTACAGTAGTGTTCAGTACAGTAGTGTTCAGTACAGTAGTGTTCAGTACAGTAGTGTTCAGTACAGTAGTGTTCAGTACAGTAGTGTTCAGTACAGTAGTGTTCAGTACAGTAGTGTTCAGGACAGTAGTGTTCAGTACAGTAGTGTTCAGTACAGTAGTGTTCAGTACAGTAGTGTTCAGTACAGTAGTGTTCAGGACAGTAGTGTTCAGTACAGTAGTGTTCAGTACAGTAGTGTTCAGGACAGTAGTGTTCAGGACAGTAGTGTTCAGGACAGTAGTGTTCAGTACAGTAGTGTTCAGTACAGTAGTGTTCAGTACAGTAGTGTTCAGTACAGTAGTGTTCAGTACAGTAGTGTTCAGTACAGTAGTGTTCAGTACAGTAGTGTTCAGTACAGTAGTGTTCATAACACTGTGCCCTGTGTGCTTTAACTTGTACTTTGATGTAGAGAAACATGATTTTTAATGCAGCTCCATTTGCAGTAATGACTGATATCCTTCTACTACAGTTGTTCTAATGATTTTTGAATGCTGTGTTTATCGTTTATTGCCCAGAGTCAGAACTAAACATGATAAAGCTGCATTTCAGATTCACAAGGCTAAAATCTGGAACGGTCTTCCTGGAAATGTGAGACAGGCTTCTTCTTTGACAATGTTAAAATCCAGGTTTAAAACACTTCTGTTTCTGCTTCAACTGAGAGATTTAATTAGTATCCTTTTAATTTACTGTCAATATTTATAATTGTAATGCCTTGTTTGATTGTTTCTATCTTTTGTTCAGTGCTTTGAGTTTCCTTTTGTTTTGACTGTGCTATACAAATAAACTTGCCTTGCCTATTGCAAAAAGTATGTCTCGACCAGTGAGTGATTCTGCAGAGGTTAAGTATGTCAATAGGACTGTAAATGGACGTCATATAAACGTCAATATTTTGGTCATATAAGACGTCGAGAGGACGTCGGACCCGACCGGTTCTGTACCACATTGCAACCTTGAATGAACGTCCAGATGACGTTGAAATGACATAGTTTTGACATCTGCTTGCTTAGTGGGAACGACTGAAAACGAACGTCATATAAACGTCAATATTTTGGTCATATGAGACGTTGATAGGACGTCGGACCCGACCGGTTCTGTACCACATTCAAACCTTGAATTGACGTGCCATCAACGTAACATTTGGAGGTTGAGGTGACGTCGGGAAACGACGTCGAGAAAACTTTCATTCTGCACCCACCAGTGACCTATATTCTACGTCGGACAACGACGTTCAAATTACCTTGATTCAACGTCGGCTTGCTTAGTGGGCTCCTGTAGGAGACACCAGGACACCTCCTCCTGTAGGAGACACCAGGACACCTCCTCCTGTAGGAGACACCAGGACACCTCCTCCTGTAGGAGACACCAGGACACCTCCTCCTGTAGGAGACACCAGGACACCTCCTCCTGTAGGAGACACCAGGACACCTCCTCCTCTAGGAGACACCAGGACACCTCCTCCTCTAGGAGACACCAGGACACCTCCTCCTGTAGGAGACACCAGGACACCTCCTCCTGTAGGAGACACCAGGACACCTCCTCCTGTAGACGGACTCATCGTTGTTGGAGATGAGTGTTGTCAGCCCTCCTCTCTGCTCTTCCCCCTCCTCTCACCCTCCTCTCTCTCCTGCCCCCTCCTCTCTCTCCTGCCCCCTCCTCTCTCTCCTGCCCCCTCCTCTCACCCTCCTCTCTCTCCTACCCCCTCCTCTCACCCCACCTCTCTCCTCTCTGCTCTCCCCCTCCTCTCAGCTACAGAGTCTGTGGTAGTTGTCCTGGAGAAGACGTTCCCCCAGGACCCACCTGTTGTCCTCTTCCTCCTCCTCCTCCTCCTCCTTCTCCATGGAGACCACACCTCAGTGTCAGAGCTGCTGCTGCTGCTGAGAGGAGGTGCAGGAGAGGAGTCCAAACTCCGAGAGCGGGAACAACATGGACGATTTGGGGAATGTCGCTGTCAGGAACAATCAGTGGCAAAGGCTGTTGAAATGGAACAGGAGGAGGAAGGAGGAAGGAGACGCAGAGGAGCAGCACAGGAGGAGGAAGGAGGAAGGAGACGCAGAGGAGCAGCTCAGCGGTTTGCAGCGACTGACAAAGTTTAAGTATGTTTTTAATATGTCATTCTTTTATTCACACACACAGACGGGCGGCACGGTGGCTGAGTGGATAGCACTCTCGCATCTCAGAAAGAAAGTCCTGGGTTCGAATCCCGGTCGGAACAGGGGCTTTTCACTTGGCTTCCAAGAAGGTGCCTAAGTTGGGTCGTGCGTCTGCTCGTCAGCTAAAATGTTATTTTCCGATGCTATCCATAACATACTTTGCCGTCCTGTCTGCCCTGATGGCCACGACTGTGCCGTGGCTCTACGGACTTACGACCACAGCTCTCTGTTTAACAGTAAAGCGTGTATGGAGCTTCAATGACTGGGGCAGCTACAGGAACACCTTTCCACCCCCGTTCGTGTTCGTCCCCACTTCCCAGGAGTACCTGTGGCTGTTGCGAGCCCGGGTAACTCCAAAAAGAGGTCGAGATGCAGAGGCTGCAGAGCTGGTGTCCAGGTCCAGATCAGACGAGCCGCTCAAAGGGGCGATTACAAACTAACAACCCGCAACAGTTCTGGAAGCTTATAATATAGAATGAGTCTGGTGTGTGTGTGAATGGTTGGTGGTGGTGGTTGGGGCCTATGGCACAGACTGGTTGCCTCGCTTCTGTCAGTGTGCCCCAGGGCAGCTGTGGCTACAGTAGTAGTTTATCACCACCGTGTTTGGAGAGAAAGAATAATGACATGAGAAGTGTCTTTGAGTGTCCAAAAAAGCGCTATATAAAACCTTTTTTTTTTTTTTTTTTTTATGTAACACCATGTGATACAGATTCCATAAAAAAACATAAATGACTATGTACAACATAGTAGTGGAGAATATATTGGTGGGGGAGGGAAGGGGGAGTGGGGGGGCATTTTTAAGGCATCCAGAGCATGAAGTACTGTCGTGGAAATATGTAGGTGCTAATGTGTAAGTGTGGGTGTTAATGTATTTGAGTGTTTGTGTATATGTATAAATGTGTGACCATATGTGTCTGACGAAGAAATAGAAAAACAGAACAATAACAGTAAATACAACGAAAATAATGAGTGCTACCACCTGCTGTCTCCACAGATCCCAGTGACGTATTTTGGCTGTTTATGTGTATTTTTTTGCTTATTTTGTATTATTATTATTATTTGTATTTTTTCATTTATTTATTTTTTGTGTGTGTCTAGTGCATTAAAAACATGCAAGGTTATTTTTTTTTTTTTTTAGTCCTGTCACTGTTGGGGTCTCCTCCAGCAATAGCAGGGCCACTTCCTTGTTTAATCTTGTGTGTATTGTATGTGTGTGTTGAGCGTGGCTTATGTTATGCATTAAAAGTCCAGGGTTCTGTGGGAGGTCTGCGCTCCAGGGGAGTCACCTCTAGAGCACATGCCTCCCCTCCTGAAGGGCCTGATCTAGTAGGTGTGAGTCTGTTGTTGGGTTTTATCATCTTTCCAGTTTTGGTTTGGTAAAAAGAGCTTTGGTTACTGTGGTGACAGGGTTAGCAGCATAATACTAATGTGTTAGGGTTCTGTGTGTGTGTGTGCGTGAGTGTGTGCGTGCGTGCGTGCGTGCGTGCGTGCGTGTGTGCATGTGTGTGGGTGTGTGCGTGCGTGCGTGTGTGTGTGCGTGTGTGCGTGTGTGCATGTGTGTGTGTGTGTGCGTGTGTGTGTGTGTGTGTGTGGTGATGTGTGTGTGTGTGTGTGTGTGTGTGGTGATGTGTGGTGATGTGTGTGTGTGTGTGTGTGTGGTGATGTGTGGTGATGTGTGTGTGTGTGTGGTGGTGTGTGGTGATGTGTGGTGATGTGTGTGTGTGTGTGTGTGTGTGTCTCTGTGTGTGTGTGCACTTGTTTTCAACTCCTGGTGGGTTCCATAACCTGAGATTCCACTCACGTCATGGGGACTGGTTTTACGTGGTGGGGCCCGAACACCGGACCCCACTGGTCCAAGCTTAATAATCAATGGGTAATGCTTTTCTAACGGTCCTTATGCAGTCTCTGTAAAAATATGGAAAGGACCCCTGGAGGTTTACTTTCCTGAAAAAAGTGTGTTATGTGTCGGAACCCTGGTGGTGGGTTGCGGGATATCAAGGAGGGGCACACTGGGGCAATTTCAGTCCAGCAGGCTGGAGCCAATCATGGAGCAGCACAACAGAGGAAATCAGGTGTCAGTCTAGAAAAAGGTGCAAGTGTGTGGTTCATTAGGCTGCAAGAAATCATGGAGGAGCACACTGAAGTGCACGCTTACAAACCACTGGTAAGTGCTGACTACAAGTCATGACTTCAAATTGTTATATAGAATTATTACAAATTATTTTTGTTTGTGCAGCTTAGTCAAGAGTCCCTAATTGATGAAGTCGACTCAGATTCTGACGATTTAACTGTCAAGAAGAAACCTGTAAAAAAGTATGGAAAAAGAAAAATCAAAAACACTTTTCTTCAAGACTCGGAAAGTGACGAACCAAAGGCAAATAAGATTGTTATCATGCAGCTGCAAAAGAAGAAAAATGGGGGGCGAGTTTATAGCAAGAGACACTTCTGCCTCTACTGTTCAATGTCCTGCCACAAAATGTCCCGTCATTTGACTAGAAAACATGGAAATGAAAGTGACGTAGCCAGAGCATTGGCTCTACCTGTGAAATCTAAAGCACGTAAACTTCAGTTTGATTTGATCAGGAATAGTGGAAACCGTGAGCACAATGTTGAGGTTTTAAAGGCCGGCATTGGAACTTTAGTCCCAGCTAAACAGCCAAATTCCCCAGTTAAATCCAGTGAGTTTTTGCACTGTATAGACTGTGGGGCATTGCTTAAGCGAAAGTCGCTGTGGAGGCATGTGGCCAGGTGCCGGCTTTCACAGAAAGATGCCCAGGCTAAACCAGGCTAAACCAGGCTAAACCAGGTAGAAGTAGGGTCCAGTCCCTCTGCTCCCTAGCCCAGCCTGTACCGGAGGGCATCAGCAAAAAGCTGTGGTCTTTAATTTGGGCAATGCATCAGGATGAGGTCACGGGTGTTGTCAAAGCAGAAAAGGGGATTCTGAGACTCGGAGAGCACCTGTACTTAAAACACGGGCATGAAATGACTAAGCATGATTACATTAGGCAGAAAATGAGAGAAGTCGGTAGGTTAATTAACGAAGCAAAAACTGCAGGGAAACTGAAAACAATGAAGGATTTCTTTATTCCTTCCAACTTTAACCATGTGATTGATGCAGTCAGGTCTGTGGCTGGATATGATGAGGAAACAAATCAATACAAGACTCCATCCTTGGCCCTCAAACTCGGCCATAGCCTCAGAAAGCTAGCAGATATTCTTGAATGTGACTCAAAAATGGAGCATTGTGTTGATGAACTATTTATTAAAAACCTCCAACGAAGCCGGCTGCTTTTTGAGAAGAGGTGGGACGTCTGTGTTTCTTCTGCTGCCCTACAGACCCTCCGGCAAGCCAAGTGGAACACTCCGGACCTGCTCCCTCTGACTGAGGACGTTAGAGCCATGCATGCACATATTGAGGTATGTCGACCTGAATATGTGCAAACCCTAATAAGTGAGCCAACGTCTAAGCATTGGTCTAAACTGGCAGTTTTGACTCTTTGTGAGGTCATCATTTTCAATCGAAGAAGGGAAGGTGAGGTTTCAAAGATGCCACTGACAGCCTTTACCTTAAGAAGTAAGACTGGGATCCATTCTGACATTGCTCTGGGACTGTCCCAACTTGAGAAAAAGCTGTGTCAGCATTTTCAACGCATTGAAATTAAAGGGAAAAGAAGTCGGAAAGTGGTGGTTCTTTTGACTCCTGAAATGATTGCTTCGATGGAGGTGCTGGTGGAGAACAGAAGGGCCTGTTCCATCTCTGACCATAACCCATACTTCTTCTCCCGCCCGGGCGCAGACACCCACATCAGGGGATCAGACTCCCTACGCCAGGTAGCCAAAGAATGTGGTGCGGTGCATCCAGAGATGCTATCCTCAACCAAACTTAGAAAGCACATAGCTACTATGTCTACAGTTCTCAATATGAAAGAGAATGAGATGGACATACTTGCCAACTTCCTCGGCCATGACATTCGCATCCACAGGCAATATTACAGACTACCAGAGGGGACACTGGAGCTGGCCAAAATCAGCAAAGTGTTGATGGCCATGGAGCAGGGAAGAGTGACGGAATTCGAAGGAAAGAGCCTCGACCAGATACAAATTGAGCCTGAAGGTAATTCTTGATATTATTAAAATATGTATGATTTTTTTCCCCTAAAGGCCACTTGTATTTTTATTTTCTGTGCGACAGGGAGAGCAGTAGAGATCCTCTCACAAACGGACGGGCTAAAAGAAACTTCAAGCGGAGAACCTTCAACCATTCATCCAGATGCACCCCATGGTAGTGGCAGTGCCCCTTCTGGTAAGTGTACCAGGTGGGGGATTACAGCCAGGCTGCTTGGTCCTAACCCTGGGAGTGTATATTGCTAATATATTTTTATTTCTCTCCCTAGAACGTTAGAGAAAGCCATGGTCTGCATCTGAGGTGAAGGCTGTGGAGAAGACCATGACACCTTTCATACAGACTGGAAAGGTCCCTGGGAAGTCTCACTGCCTGGCCTGCATTAATGCCTCACCAGATGACCTTAGACATCGGACATGGAGTGGCATTAAATTCTATGTCAAAAATAGAATCACTGCAATTCGAAAAAAAAATCTAAAATAAAATTCCTTTAAAATAGTTGTTTGGTTTCTATTGACTGTTTTGTATTACTTAAAGTAGTCCCAGTAAAAAAAGATTATGTTCTGATTATGTTCTGAACGGCCCTGTCAAAGGGACCCACCAGGTAACAAAAACGTGTGTGTGTGTGTGTGTGTGGTGATGTGTGTGTGTGTGTGTGTGTGGTGATGTGTGTGTGTGAGGGAGTTGATCCAGTGGTTGATACTTATTGAGTTTTTGGTTTTCCAGTTTAGTAAGATTATCTTCTTGGCGATAGCTAGAGATGTCAGAAGGCTTTTTGTATTTGGTAGGTGTGGGGCTGGTAGAGGTGGGGCTGGTAGAGGTGGGGCTGGTAGAGGTGGGGCTGGTAGAGGTGGGGCTGGTAGAGGTGGGGCTGGTAGAGGTGGGGCTGGTAGAGGTGGGGCTGGTAGAGGTGGGGCTGGTAGAGGTGGGGCTGGTAGAGGTGGGGCTGGTAGAGGTGGGGCTGGTAGAGGTGGGGCTGGTAGAGGTGGCGCTCAATAGACACAGAGAAGGGGAGAGCGGGACTCTGCAGCTCAGGATGTCAGAGAGTTTTAGAGTGACTGCCAAAAGGATTGGACTGGTGTGCATTCCCACAGTACATGTATGTACGTGTGCATGTATGTACGTGCGCATGTATGTACGTGCACATGTATGTACGTGTGCGCATGTATGTACGTGTGCACATGTATGTACGTGTGCGCATGTATGTACGTGTGCACATGTATGTACGTGCGCATGTATGTACGTGTGCACATGTATGTACGTGTGCACATGTATGTACGTGTCTGTGAAGCCCATTGTTTGTTGAGTGCATGTGCGTGTGTGCGTTAGTCCCATGTCATGCTTGTTGTGTTCAGTTATGTGTGTTCTGTGAATAATCCTGTTTTGTATCATGTGTAAACTGGTGGTTGGTGTCATGGAGCATATTTCTGTCCAGAATTGGGGTGTGACGGGTGAGTTAATGTCCAGGTTCCATTTTTCTTTTGGGGTGTGTATTGTTTGGTCTGTATTCAAGAAGTTGTGTAGTTTGGATAAAAAAAATTTCATAGTTTTAATGTTTTTACTGTTGGGGAGCAGTTAAGGGGTTGTGCTGTGAGTTAATCTTGCCTTTGATCATGGATTTGATTTGGAAATATTGGAATGTGCAGTTTTGGTTGAGATCGAATTTGTCTGTTAGTTGTTTAAATGTCATAAATGTGTTGTTGTTGAATAGATGTCCGAGGTGGGTGATTCCTTTTTGTTCCCATGTGTGGTAGTGCAGTGGTGTGTTGTGTGAAAGTCAGGGTTGTGCCAGAGAGGAGTGTACTTGCAGGGTGTAGGTGATGAGTTAGTTTGAAAGCTTTCCACCAGGCTGTCAGAGTTGTTGAGATAGTTATGTATTTAAAAGAGGTATGTTTTTTGAGTGCAGTGATCATTGCTGGTAAGTCTGTCAGTTGGATGTTATGGAAGATAGATTGTTCTATTTCTGTCCAGGAGTTATTGTGTGTAGGCTTTATCCATGTTGCTAGGTATTGTAGTTGGTTTGTAAGGAAGTAGTGTGTGTGTGTGTGTGTGTGTGTAGTGTGAAGTTGGGTGCGTTAAGGCCGCCCTGCGATTTGGACTGTTGTAATGTTGAAAGTTTGATTTTGGCTTTTTTGTGTTTCCAGTAACATTTTGATATGAGTGATTTGAACCATTTATCTGTGGGTGTGACGGGTATGTTAGAGAATAGGTAGTTGAGTTTTGGAAGGATCTTCATTTTTACTGCAGAGATGCGGCCGATGAGAGTGAGTGGGAGGTTTGTCCATCTGTCTAGATCTAGACTTTTATTTGGTCAAAAACCCGGCGTAGTTTAGTGGGAACAACTCTGACAGCCTGGGGGAAATGTGGATGCCCAGATACTTCATGTTGCCCGTGTGAATCCCAGGGAAGAGATCCTGAGCTGAAGAGTCCCAAGCGCCATCTGTCAAGGGAAGTATTGTAGATTTGTTCCAGTTTATTGTGTAGTCTGATATGGCTGAAAAAGAGTTTATTATTTTGAATGCTTCATGATATGATTCTGTGGGGTTTTGGAGGTATAGGAGGATGTCGTCGGCATAAAGGCTTATTTTATGGTGTATATTAAGGGTGCGTATTCCATTGATGCCGTTGGATTGGCGTATGGCAGTTTGCTAGTGGTTCTAAGAATAATGCGAAGAGTGAGGGGGAGAGTGGGCATCCTTGTCGTGTTCCCCGGTGCAGTGTGTGTTTGTCTCTCTCTGGTCTCTCTCTGGTCTCTCTCTGGTCTCTCTCTGGTCTCTCTCTGGTCCCTCTCTGGTCCCTCTCTGGTCTCTCTCTCTCTGGTCCCTCTCTGGTCTCTCTCTGGTCTCTCTCTGGTCTCTCTCTGGTCTCTCTCTGGTCTCTCTCTGGTCCCTCTCTGGTCTCTCTCTGGTCTCTCTCTGGTCCCTCTCTGGTCTCTCTCTGGTCTCTCTCTGGTCTCTCTCTCTGGTCTCTCTCTGGTCTCTCTCTGGTCTCTCTCTGGTCTCTCTCTGGTCCCTCTCTGGTCTCTCTCTGGTCTCTCTCTGGTCCCTCTCTGGTCTCTCTCTGGTCTCTCTCTGGTCTCTCTCTGGTCTCTCTCTGGTCTCTCTCTGGTCTCTCTCCGGTCTCTCTCTGGTCTCTCTTTCTGGTCTCTCTCTGGTCTCTCTCTGGTCTCTCTCTGGTCTCTCTCTGGTCTCTCTCTCTGTCTCTCTCTGGTCCCTCTCTGGTCTCTCTCTGGTCTCTCTCTGGTCCCTCTCTGGTCTCTCTCTCTCTGGTCCCTCTCTGGTCTCTCTCTGGTCTCTCTCTGGTCTCTCTCTGGTCTCTCTCTGGTCCCTCTCTGGTCTCTCTCTGGTCTCTCTCTGGTCCCTCTCTGGTCTCTCTCTGGTCTCTCTCTCTGGTCTCTCTCTCTGGTCTCTCTCTGGTCTCTCTCTGGTCCCTCTCTGGTCTCTCTCTGGTTTCTCTCTGGTCTCTCTCTGGTCCCTCTCTGGTCTCTCTCTGGTCTCTCTCTGGTCTCTCTCTGGTCTCTCTCTCTGGTCTCTCTCTGGTCTCTCTCTGGTCTCTCTCTCTGGTCTCTCTCTGGTCTCTCTCTGGTCTCTCTCTCTGGTCTCTCTCTGGTCTCTCTCTGGTCTCTCTCTGGTCTCTCTCTGGTCTCTCTCTGGTCTCTCTCTGGTCTCTCTCCGGTCTCTCTCTGGTCTCTCTTTCTGGTCTCTCTCTGGTCTCTCTCTGGTCTCTCTCTGGTCTCTCTCTGGTCTCTCTCTGGTCCCTCTCTGGTCTCTCTCTGGTCTCTCTCTGGTCCCTCTCTGGTCTCTCTCTCTCTGGTCCCTCTCTGGTCTCTCTCTGGTCTCTCTCTGGTCTCTCTCTGGTCTCTCTCTGGTCCCTCTCTGGTCTCTCTCTGGTCTCTCTCTGGTCCCTCTTGGTCTCTCTCTGGTCTCTCTCTCTGGTCTCTCTCTCTGGTCTCTCTCTGGTCTCTCTCTGGTCCCTCTCTGGTCTCTCTCTGGTTTCTCTCTGGTCTCTCTCTGGTCCCTCTCTGGTCTCTCTCTGGTCTCTCTCTGGTCTCTCTCTGGTCTCTCTCTCTGGTCTCTCTCTGGTCTCTCTCTGGTCTCTCTCTCTGGTCTCTCTCTGGTCTCTCTCTGGTCTCTCTCTCTGGTCTCTCTCTGGTCTCTCTCTGGTCTCTCTCTGGTCTCTCTCTGGTCTCTCTCTGGTCTCTCTCCGGTCTCTCTCCGGTCTCTCTTGGTCTCTCTTTCTGGTCTCTCTCTGGTCTCTCTCTGGTCTCTCTCCGGTCTCTCTCTCTGGTCTCTCTCTCTCTCTGGTCTCTCTCTCTGGTCTCTCTCTCTGGTCTCTCTCTGGTCTCTCTCTGGTCTCTCTCTCTCTCTGGTCTCTCTCTGGTCTCTCTCTGGTCTCTCTCTGGTTTCTCTCTGGTCTCTCTCTGGTCTCTCTCTCTCTCTGGTCTCTCTCTGGTCTCTCTCTCTGGTCTCTCTCTGGTCTCTCTCTGGTCTCTCTCTCTGGTCTCTCTCTCTGGTCTCTCTCTCTTTCTGGTCTCTCTCTCTGGTCTCTCTCTCTGGTCTCTCTATGGTCTCTCTCTGGTCTCTCTCTCTCTCTGGTCTCTCTCTGGTCTCTCTCTGGTCTCTCTCTGGTCTCTCTCTCTGGTCTCTCTCTCTGGTCTCTCTCTGGTCTCTCTCTGGTCTCTCTCTGGTCTCTCTCTGGTCTCTCTCTGGTGTCTCTCTGGTCTCTCTCTGGTCTCTCTCTCTGGTCTCTCTCTCTGGTCTCTCTCTGGTCTCTCTCTGGTCTCTCTCTGGTCTCTCTCTCTGGTCTCTCTCTCTGGTCTCTCTCTGGTCTCTCTCTGGTCTCTCTCTCTGGTCTCTCTCTGGTCTCTCTCTGGTCTCTCACCTGACTCTGAGGGCTCGTACAGTCGGATCATCTCCTCCGCTCTCTCCTGCTGGTCCTCCTCCTGCGCCTCCTTCTGTTCGTTGCAGAGGAAGTAGCTGAGCTCGGCCAGCAGGAGGCGCTCTCCGTCTGAGGAGAAGTCCTGGAAAACCTTCCACACCTCGTCTCTCTGCGTCAGCAGTTTGTAGAAGAAGACAAACTCCTCCATGTCCAGAGAGCCACGCCCCAGCTTATCAGACAGCTACACACAGACACACACATGTATACAATAATATACACACATGTATACATAGATACACACATGTACACACAGATACACACATGTATACACACATGTACACACACATGTACACACAGACACACACATGTACACACAGACACACACATGTACACACAGATACACACATGTATACACACATGTACACACACATGTACACACAGACACACACATGTACACACAGACACACACATGTACACACAGATACACACATGTATACACACATGTACACACACATGTACACACAGATACACACATGTATACAATAATATACACACATGTACACACAGATACACACATGTATACAATAATATACACACATGTACACACAGATACACACATGTACACACAGATACACACATGTACACACACATGTACACACAGATACACACATGTATACACACATGTACACACACATGTACACACAGATACACACATGTATACAATAATATACACACATGTATACAATAATATACACACATGTACACACAGATACACACATGTATACAATAATATACACACATGTACACACAGATACACACATGTATACAATAATATACACACATGTACACACAGATACACACATGTACACACAGATACACACATGTATACAATAATATACACACATGTATACATAGATACACACATGTACACACAGATACACACATGTATACAATAATATACACACATGTATACATAGATACACACATGTACACACAGATACACACATGTATACACAAGTATACACACATGTACATACAGATACACACATGTATACAATAAAATACACACATGTATACATAGATACACACATGTACACACACATGTACACACAGATACACACATGTATACAATAAAATACACACATGTATACATAGATACACACATGTACACACACATGTACACACAGATACACACATGTATACAATAATATACACACATGTACACACAGATACACACATGTATACAATAATATACACACATGTACACACAGATACACACATGTATACAATAATATACACACATGTACACACAGATACACACATGTATACAATAATATACACACATGTAAACATAGATACACACATGTACACACAGATACACACATGTATACACAAGTATACACACATGTACACACAGACACACACATGTATACAATAATATACACACATGTATACATAGATGCACACATGTACACACAGATACACACATGTATACACACATGTACACACACATGTACACACAGATACACACATGTATACAATAATATACACACATGTACACACAGATACACACATGTATACAATAATATACACACATGTACACACAGATACACACATGTATACAATAATATACACACATGTATACATAGATACACACATGTACACACAGATACACACATGTATACAATAATATACACACATGTATTCAATCATATACAGATGTATACACAGACAGACTCACAGTGAAGAGGTACAGACTCACAGGTGCAGAGTCACAGGTACAGACTCACAGGTGCAGAGTCACAGGTACAGACTCACAGGTGCAGACTCACAGGCACAGACTCACTGACTCACAGATACTGACTCACAGATACAGACTCACAGGTACACACTCACAGACTCACAGGTACTGACTCACAGATACAGACTCACAGGTACACACTCACAGACTCACAGGTACACACTCACAGACTCACAGGTACAGACTCACAGTGAAGAGGTGCAGACTCACAGGTACAGACTCACAGGTACAGACTTACAGGTTCTGACTCACAGGTGCAGACTCACAGGTACAGACTCACAGGCACAGACTCACAGATACTGACTCACAGGTACAGACTCACAGGTACAGACTCACAGACTCACAGGTACAGACTCACAGGTACTGACTCACAAGCACAGACTCACTGACTCACAGGTACAGACTTACAGACTCACAGGTACAGACTCACAGACTCACAGGTGCAGACTCACAGGTACAGACTTACAGGTACAGACTCACAGGTACAGTCTCACAGGTACAGACTCACAGGTACAGTCTCACAGGTACAGACTTACAGGTACAGACTTACAGGTACAGACTCACAGGTACAGTCTCACAGGTACAGTCTCACAGGTACAGACTCACAGGTACAGACTCACAGGTACAGTCTCACAGGTACAGACTCACAGGTACAGTCTCACAGGTACAGACTTACAGGTACAGACTCACAGGTACAGTCTCACAGGTACAGTCTCACAGACTCACAGACTCACAGGTACAGTCTCACAGGTACAGTCTCACAGACTCACAGACTCACAGGTACAGTCTCACAGGTACAGTCTCACAGGTACAGTCTCACAGACTCACAGGTACAGACTTACAGGTACAGTCTCACAGGTACAGACTCACAGGTACAGTCTCACAGGTACAGTCTCACAGGTACAGTCTCACAGGTACAGTCTCACAGACTCACAGACTCACAGGTACAGTCTCACAGGTACAGACTCACAGGTACAGACTCACAGGTACAGACTCACAGGTACAGTCTCACAGGTACAGACTCACAGGTACAGACTCACAGGTACAGACTCACAGGTACAGACTCACAGGTACAGACTCACAGACTCACAGGTACAGACTCACAGGTACAGTCTCACAGACTCACAGGTACAGACTCACAGGTACAGACTCACAGGTACAGTCTCACAGACTCACAGGTACAGTCTCACAGGTACAGACTCACAGGTACAGACTCACAGGTACAGACTCACAGACTCACAGGTGCAGACTCACAGGTACAGACTTACAGGTACAGACTCACAGGTACAGTCTCACAGGTACAGACTCACAGGTACAGTCTCACAGGTACAGACTTACAGGTACAGACTTACAGGTACAGACTCACAGGTACAGTCTCACAGGTACAGTCTCACAGGTACAGACTCACAGGTACAGACTCACAGGTACAGTCTCACAGGTACAGACTCACAGGTACAGTCTCACAGGTACAGACTTACAGGTACAGACTCACAGGTACAGTCTCACAGGTACAGTCTCACAGACTCACAGACTCACAGGTACAGTCTCACAGGTACAGTCTCACAGACTCACAGACTCACAGGTACAGTCTCACAGGTACAGTCTCACAGGTACAGTCTCACAGACTCACAGGTACAGACTTACAGGTACAGTCTCACAGGTACAGACTCACAGGTACAGTCTCACAGGTACAGTCTCACAGGTACAGTCTCACAGGTACAGTCTCACAGACTCACAGACTCACAGGTACAGTCTCACAGGTACAGACTCACAGGTACAGACTCACAGGTACAGACTCACAGGTACAGTCTCACAGGTACAGACTCACAGGTACAGACTCACAGGTACAGACTCACAGGTACAGACTCACAGGTACAGACTCACAGACTCACAGGTACAGACTCACAGGTACAGTCTCACAGACTCACAGGTACAGACTCACAGGTACAGTCTCACAGACTCACAGGTACAGACTCACAGGTACAGTCTCACAGACTCACAGGTACAGACTCACAGGTACAGACTCACAGGTACAGACTCACAGTGAAGAGGCGCAGGGCGTGGTCGTCGTTCATCTCCACGTTCATCATCTTGAGCAGAGTCTTTGCTTCTTTAAACGTCATCAGTCCGTCTCTGTTTTTATCGGCTTTGGAAAACCACTCCCTCACCCACATGGTACGGGCTCAGGAAGACTGACCAGGAAGACTGACCAGGAAGACTGACCAGGAAGACTGACCAGGAAGACTGACCAGGAAGACTGACCAGGAAGACTGACCAGGAACTGACCAGGAAGACTGACACAGACAGACTTAGAGAAGAGGAGAGATAGAAGAGGAGAGAGAGGGAGAGAAGAGGAGAGAGAGAGGGAGAGAAGAGGAGAGAGAGAGATAGAAGAGGAGAGATAGAAGAGGAGAGAGAGGGAGAGAAGAGGAGATAGAGGGAGAGAAGAGGAGGCAGAGAAGAGGAGAGATAGAAGTGGAGAGAGAGGGAGAGAAGCGGAGAGAGAGAGGGAGAAGAGGAGAGAGAGAGGGAGAGAAGAGGAGAGAGAGAGGGACAGAAGAGGAGAGAGAGAGGGAGAGAAGAGGAGAGATAGAAGAGGAGAGAGAGAGGGAGAGAAGAGGAGGCAGAGAAGAGGAGAGAGAGGGAGAGAAGAGGAGAGAGAGAGGGAGAGAAGAGGAGAGAGAGAGGGACAGAAGAGGAGAGAGAGAGGGAGAGAAGAGGAGAGATAGAAGAGGAGAGAGAGAGGGAGAGAAGAGGAGGCAGAGAAGAGGAGAGATAGAAGAGGAGAGAGAGGGAGAGAAGAGGAGAGAGAGAGGGAGAAGAGGAGAGAGAGAGAGGGAGAGAAGAGGAGAGAGAGAGGGAGAAGAGGAGAGAGAGAGAGGGAGAGAAGAGGAGAGATAGAAGAGGAGAGCGAGAGGGAGAGAAGAGGAGAGATAGAAGAGGAGAGATAGAAAAGGAGAGAGAGGGAGAGAAGAGGAGAGATAGAAGAGGAGAGCGAGAGGGAGAGAAGAGGAGAGATAGAAGAGGAGAGAGAGGGAGAGAAGAGGAAAGATAGAAGAGGAGAGAGAGGAAGTGAACTAGACTCAGCAGACTGCTCTGATGCTAAGCTAACACCATCCAAACTGATGCCCATATAAGGAAAGGGCTCTCACACAGCTGTGGTGATGTCACACTCTCTGAGAGCAGCAGGAGGAGGGCGTCTCCTCTGGTCTGGAGGAGGTGAAGGATACTGGTTGAGGCGCTCCTTTTGGTCCATGGTCTGGGACTTGTGGATGAGTTTGCGGAGCCCCTGGACCCAGGCCCGGGCCTCCTCTGGGGTCTCTGCCACCAAGTCCAGGGTGCCCTGCCTCCCGTGGAACACCAGCGTGAAGCAGCGCTCAGGAGGGAACTCCGAGGAGACGCTGAGGAGGAGGTCCGACTGATGACCCTCCCGCACAGCCTCCAGGTCAGACACCGAGACTGAGGAGGAGAGAGGAGGAGAGAGGGTTATCAGACTGAGGAGGAGCAGAGAGGAGAGAGAGGAGCAGAGAGGAGGAGTGAGGAGGAGTTATCAGCATGAGGAGGAGCAGAGAAGAGGAGAGAGAGGAGCAGAGAGGAGGAGTAAGGAGGAGTTATCAGCATGAGGAGGAGCAGAGAAGAGGAGAGAGGGTTATCAGACTGAGGATACAGAGGAGTAGAGAGGAGACAGAGGAGCAGAGAGGAGACAGAGGAAAAGAGAGGAGACAGAGGAGCAGAGAGGAGACAGAGGAGCAGAGAGGAGACAGAGGAGCAGAGAGGAGACAGAGGAGCAGAGAGGAGACAGAGGAGCAGAGAGGAGACAGAGGAGCAGAGAGGAGACAGAGGAGCAGAGAGGAGACAGAGGAGCAGAGAGGAGACAGAGGAGCAGAGAGGAGACAGAGGAGCAGAGAGGAGACAGAGGAGCAGAGAGGAGACAGAGGAGCAGAGAGGAGACAGAGGAGAAGAGAGGAGACAGAGGAGCAGAGAGGAGACAGAGGAGCAGAGAGGAGACAGAGGAGCAGAGAGGAGACAGAGGAGCAGAGAGGAGACAGAGGAGCAGAGAGGAGACAGAGGAGCAGAGAGGAGACAGAGGAAAAGAGTGGAGACAGAGGAGCAGAGAGGAGACAGAGGAGAAGAGAGGAGACAGAGGAGCAGAGAGGAGACAGAGGAGAAGAGAGGAGACAGAGGAGCAGAGAGGAGACAGAGGAGCAGAGAGGAGACAGAGGAAAAGAGTGGAGACAGAGGAGCAGAGAGGAGACAGAGGAGAAGAGAGGAGACAGAGGAGCAGAGAGGAGACAGAGGAGAAGAGAGGAGACAGAGGAGCAGAGAGGAGACAGAGGAGCAGAGAGGAGACAGAGGAGCAGAGAGGAGACAGAGGAAAAGAGTGGAGACAGAGGAGCAGAGAGGAGACAGAGGAGCAGAGAGGAGACAGAGGAGAAGAGAGGAGACAGAGGAGCAGAGAGGAGACAGAGGAGCAGAGAGGAGACAGAGGAGAAGAGAGGAGACAGAGGAGCAGAGAGGAGACAGAGGAGAAGAGAGGAGACAGAGGAGCAGAGAGGAGAGAGAGGAGAGAGGAGCAGAGAGGAGACAGAGGAGCAGAGAGGAGACAGAGGAGCAGAGAGGAGACAGAGGAGCAGAGAGGAGAGAGAGGAGAGAGGAGCAGAGAGGAGACAGAGGAGAAGAGAGGAGACAGAGGAGCAGAGAGGAGACAGAGGAAAAGAGAGGAGACAGAGGAGCAGAGAGGAGACAGAGGAGAAGAGAGGAGACAGAGGAGCAGAGAGGAGACAGAGGAGAAGAGAGGAGACAGAGGAGCAGAGAGGAGACAGAGGAGAAGAGAGGAGACAGAGGAGCAGAGAGGAGACAGAGGAGAAGAGAGGAGACAGAGGAGCAGAGAGGAGACAGAGGAGCAGAGAGGAGACAGAGGAGAAGAGAGGAGACAGAGGAGCAGAGAGGAGACAGAGGAGCAGAGAGGAGACAGAGGAGCAGAGAGGAGACAGAGGAGAAGAGAGGAGACAGAGGAGCAGAGAGGAGACAGAGGAGCAGAGAGGAGACAGAGGAGCAGAGAGGAGACAGAGGAGAAGAGAGGAGACAGAGGAGCAGAGAGGAGACAGAGGAGCAGAGAGGAGAGAGGAGAAGAGAGGAGACAGAGGAGCAGAGAGGAGACAGAGGAGCAGAGAGGAGACAGAGGAGCAGAGAGGAGACACAGGAGAAGAGAGGATACAGAGGAGCAGAGAGGAGACAGAGGAGCAGAGAGGAGACAGAGGAGCAGAGAGGAGACAGAGGAAAAGAGAGGAGACAGAGGAGCAGAGAGGAGACAGAGGAGAAGAGAGGAGACAGAGGAGCAGAGAGGAGACAGAGGAGCAGAGAGGAGACAGAGGAAAAGAGAGGAGACAGAGGAGCAGAGAGGAGAGAGGAGAAGAGAGGAGACAGAGGAGCAGAGAGGAGACAGAGGAGCAGAGAGGAGACAGAGGAAAAGAGAGGAGACAGAGGAGCAGAGAGGAGAGAGGAAAAGAGAGGAGACAGAGGAGCAGAGAGGAGAGATGAGCAGAGAGGAGCAGAGAGGAGCAGAGAGGAGCAGAGAGGAGCAGAGAGGAGAGAGAGGAGAGAGAGGAGCAGAGAGGAGCAGAGAGGAGAGAGGAGCAGAGAGGAGGCCTCACATGTGGAGGCGCCGCGCCCCGCCCACCGTGACCTGTAGCTCAGAGTCAGGCCGTCGTCGTGGAGACGGAAGTGACGCTGCTGCTTCCACAAACGAGACTTGACTTTACGCAGAGTCGACCCAGACCTCATCCTCTGCACGTCCTGGTCCTGCCCCAGAGCTGAGAGAGAGACCCCAGAGAGAGAGACCCCAGAGAGAGAGACCCCAGAGAGAGAGACCCCAGAGAGAGAGACCCCAGAGAGAGAGACCCCAGAGAGAGAGACCCCAGAGAGAGAGACCCCAGAGAGAGAGACCCCAGAGAGAGAGACCACAGAGAGAGAGACCCCAGAGAGAGAGACCCCAGAGAGAGAGACCACAGAGAGAGAGACCCCAGAGAGAGAGACCACAGAGCGAGAGACCCCAGAGAGAGAGACCCCAGAGAGAGAGACCACAGAGAGAGAGACCACAGAGAGAGAGACCCCAGAGAGAGAGACCCCAGAGAGAGAGACCACAGAGAGAGAGACCCCAGAGAGAGAGACCACAGAGAGAGAGACCCCAGAGAGAGAGACCACAGAGAGAGAGACCCCAGAGAGAGAGACCCCAGAGAGAGAGACCACAGAGAGAGAGACCACAGAGAGAGAGACCCCAGAGAGGGAGAGACAAGAGAGAGAGAGACCCCAGAGAGAGAGACCACAGAGAGAGAGACCCCAGAGAGAGAGACCCCAGAGAGAGAGACCACAGAGAGAGAGACCCCAGAGAGAGAGACCACAGAGAGAGAGACCCCAGAGAGAGAGAGACAAGAGAGAGAGACCCCAGAGAGAGAGACCACAGAGAGAGAGACCCCAGAGAGAGAGACCCCAGAGAGAGAGACCACAGAGAGAGAGACCCCAGAGAGAGAGACCACAGAGAGAGAGACCCCAGAGAGAGAGACCACAGAGAGAGAGACCCCAGAGAGAGAGACCCCAGAGAGAGAGACCACAGAGAGAGAGACCCCAGAGAGAGAGACCACAGAGAGAGAGACCCCAGAGAGAGAGAGACAAGAGAGAGAGAGACCCCAGAGAGAGAGACCACAGAGAGAGAGACCCCAGAGAGAGAGACCCCAGAGAGAGAGACCACAGAGAGAGAGACCCCAGAGAGAGAGACCACAGAGAGAGAGACCCCAGAGAGAGAGACCCCAGAGAGAGAGACCCCAGAGCGAGAGACCCCAGAGAGAGAGACCACAGAGAGAGAGACCCCAGAGAGAGAGACCCCAGAGAGAGAGACCACAGAGAGAGAGACCCCAGAGAGAGAGACCACAGAGAGAGAGACCCCAGAGAGAGAGAGACAAGAGAGAGAGAGACCCCAGAGAGAGAGACCACAGAGAGAGAGACCCCAGAGAGAGAGACCCCAGAGAGAGAGACCACAGAGAGAGAGACCCCAGAGAGAGAGACCACAGAGAGAGAGACCCCAGAGAGAGAGAGACAAGAGAGAGAGAGACCACAGAGGGAGAGACCACAGAGAGAGAGAGCCCAGAGAGAGAGACCCCAGAGAGAGAGACCCCAGAGAGAGACAAGAGAGAGAGAGACCCCAGAGAGAGAGACCACAGAGAGAGAGACCCCAGAGAGAGAGAGACAAGAGAGAGAGAGACCACAGAGGGAGAGACCACAGAGAGAGAGACCACAGAGAGAGAGACCCCAGAGAGAGAGAGACAAGAGAGAGAGAGACCACAGAGGGAGAGACCACAGAGAGAGAGAGCCCAGAAAGAGAGACCCCAGAGAGAGAGACCATAGAGAGAGAGACCCCAGAGAGAGACAAGAGAGAGAGAGACCACAGAGAGAGAGACCACAGAGAGAGAGACCCCAGAGAGAGAGACAAGAGAGAGAGAGACCCCAGAGAGAGAGACAAGAGAGAGAGAGACCACAGAGAGAGAGACCCCAGAGAGAGAGACCACAGAAAGAGAGACCCCAGAGAGAGAGAGACCACAGAGAGAGAGACCACAGAGAGAGACCACAGAGAGAGAGAGCCCAGAGAGAGAGCCACAGAGAGAGAGTCCAGAGAGAGAGACCCCAAAGAGAGAGACCCAAGAGAGAGAGAGACCACAGAGAGAGAGACCCCAGAGAGAGAGACAAGAGAGAGAGAGACCACAGAGAGAGAGACCCCAGAGAGAGAGACCACAGAGAGAGAGACCCCAGAGAGAGAGACCAGAGAGAGAGACCACAGAGAGAGAAACCCCAGAGAGAGAGAAGAGAGAGAGACCCCAAGGAGAGAGACCCCAGAGAGAGAGACCACAGAGAGAGAGACCCCAGAGAGAGATACCCCAGAGAGAGACCACAGAGACAGAGAGAGACCAGAGAGAGAGAGACCAGAGGGAGAGAGACCAGAGAGAGAGACCCGAGATAGACCCCAGAGAGAGGGACAGAGAGAGAGTAGAACAGAGAGAGAGTAAAACAGAGAGAGAGTAGAACAGAGAGAGAGCAAAAATAAGAGAGTAAAACAGTGAGAGAGTAGAACAGAGAGAGTAAAACAGAGAGGGTAAAACAGAGAGAGAGTAAAACAGAGAGAGAGTAAAACAGAGAGAGAGTAGAACAGAGAGAGAGTAAAACAGAGAGAGAGTAGAACAGAGAGAGTAGAACAGAGAGAGTAGAACAGAGAGAGAGTAGAACAGAGAGAGAGTAGAACAGAGAGAATAGAACAGAGAGAGTAAAACAGAGAGAGAGTAGAACAGAGAGAGTAAAACAGAGGGAGTAAAACAGAGAGTAGAACAGAGAGAGAATAGAACAGAGAGAGAGTAGAACAGAGAGAGAGTAGAACACAGAGAGAGTAGAACAGAGAGCGAATAGAACAGAGAGAGAGTAGAACAGAGAGAGAGTAGAACAGAGAGAGAATAGAACAGAGAGAGAGTAGAACAGAGAGAGAGTACCTGGAGGATCCATGTTTCCGCTGCAGCTGAAAAAACACATGTTTCTGTTTAACATCAAAGTATTTTATTTTTTGTGTCGTTTCAACGTTTTAGAATCTCACAGTTCAGTCAGAAGTCTATTATACATTTATATATATATATATATATATATATATATATATATATATATATATATAAAATGTATATTATACATTATATAATATACATATACATTATATATATATATATATATATATTATATATATATATATATATATATATATATATATATATATATATATATATATATATATTATATATATTTATATATATATATATATATATATATATATATATATATATATATGGAAGAGAACCGTCCATGGAAAAGATGGTTGGAGGCTAAGATCAAGGCGGCTCGGAGAGAAGTGAGTCAATTAACAGAGGCCCAGAGAGGTGCAATGAAAAGACCAGTACCCAGAAAGTACAGCCAGATGACCATACCTGAAGCACTCGAAACTGCCAAACAAAGGCTCCAAGCCCTGGCCAGCCGCCTACAGAGGTACACTAAAGAGAATGAAGCCAGAAGGGTGAACAGGCTGTTCGCAACACAACCTGCGAAGGTGTACGCTCAGTGGCAGGGTAACAACAGGGGAGCAGATCCACCGAGGCTGGAAACTGAACAGTTCTGGAGGAACATATGGGAGAAGGATGCAGCACATAACAGAAGTGCACAATGGCTGGTGTCCCTGAGAGAGGAGCACAGCCACCTCCCAGAACAGAACTCAGTTACCATCACAGAGGCAGACATCCGAGAAAGAGTCTCAGGTATGAAAAACTGGACAGCACCTGGCCCTGATATGGTCCATGCCTACTGGCTAAGGACACTCACATCACTCCATGAGCGCCTAGCAGCACAAATGAACCAGCTGCTGAGAGATGGGACTCACCCAGAATGGGCTAACCGAAGGGCGAACGGTCCTGATCATGAAGGACCCTGTCAAGGGTGCAGTCCCCTCCAACTACCGGCCAATAACCTGTCTCTCCACAACATGGAAGCTCATGTCAGGCATCATTGCGGCTAAGATAAGTGGGCATATGGAACAATTCATGAGCACAGCACAGAAGGGCATTGGTAGGGACACCAGAGGAGCCAAACACCAGCTCCTGGTTGACAGAACAGTCGCCCAAGACTGTCGGTCACGACACACCAACCTGTGCACAGCCTGGATTGATTACCAGAAAGCCTACGACTCAATGCCACACACATGGATCATGGAATGCTTGAAGTTGTACAATATCAACAGGGCTCTAAGGGACTTCGTTGCAAACTCGATGGGAATGTGGAAGACCACCCTTGAGGCAAATGGCAAGCCGCTCGCACAAGTGACCATCAAATGTGGTATCTACCAAGGAGATGCTCTGTCCCCACTACTGTTCTGCATAGGCCTCAACCCTCTAAGCCAAGTAATTGACCAGACTGGCTATGGATACCGCCTCAGGAACGGAGCAAAGATCAGTCACCTCCTCTACATGGATGACATCAAGCTGTACGCCAAGAGCGAGAGAGACATCGACTCTCTCTGATCCAAACAACCAGGATCTACAGCCATGACATCGGGATGTCATTCGGGCTCGAGAAATGTAGCAGGATGGTGACTCGGAGAGGCAAGGTAGTCCACACAGAAGGGATCTCACTCCCAGAGGGAACAATAGCAGACGTTGAGGACAGTTACAAGTATCTCGGTATACCACAGGCAAATGGCAACCTCGAACAGGTGACGAGGAAAGCGGCAACTGCCAAATACCTCCAGCGAGTAAGGCAGGTCCTAAGAAGCCGGCTCAATGGCAAGAACAAGGCCCGGGCAATTAACAGCTACGCCCTGCCAGTGATCAGATACCCTGCAGGAATAATCAGGTGGCCAAAGGAAGAGATTCAGACCACGGATGTTAAAACTCGAAAGCTCCTTACCATGCATGGCGGGTTCCATCCCAAATCCAGCACCCTGAGACTGTACGAAGCCGTAAAGA